AAGTCTGGTTTCCTGTCCCAGAAAGAAAATTATGTTTTAAAATGAATTGAGAATGTCGCCGTATAAGTATCGACGTAAACTTAAAAAATATCTATCAGGCTTCTTGTTTACGTATCCTTGTCATGTCCAAAATAAATATTTTATAAAGAAATCGTCGAAAAACACGTCTACAGCCGTCATTGAAAGCAAAGCTGCGGGCCTCTATAATTTAACCTGTTTATCCGATTTGTGATCGTTTTAATAATAGTTACCCATTTGCACTACGAAAAATCTGAAATCCCACAAAAGACTTTTTTAAAAATAAACAACACTAATTGTTAATGTTAACAACATTAATGTTGGCGGGTTTTTTTTTGTGTGGCATATAAGTATTTTCTAAGCTCTGGAAACTAATTGTAACACGACGCACCCTGAAGTTTTTATTCCTACTTGCCTAGCATGACCACCACGATATGATACATAACGCGTTTTTATCACGCTCAATTGTCAAATTACTATTCAGTTTGACAGTTAGATGCGTTAAAAACGTGATATAATGTAAATCGTGGTGCTCATGCAACGGGGACTGTATTCTTCGTAGTAGAATTGGGCAAGGCGTTCCGACTAGTAATAATATCTTTGCCACGGTAAGACAGTGTCTTTGCTTTTACTTTTCTATTTAGTACTAGCGATCCGCCCGGGTTTGCACGGGTAATCTTTTTTTTAATGCGCTAAAATACAACGTTTGAAACACAGTGGTAATAATTTAGCATTCAAAATGGTTAAATATTTCCTGGAAAATAAGTGTTTCCTCTTATTATAATTTTAGTGTTGATAGCACCTCATAAATGAGCTTCATTTAGCATTGATTGGTTGCTATGTGCCTGAAACTAGCTCTATTTTTTCATAGCCTATCTTTCCGTCTATCAATTCAAGGCAGCCGTTACTGTTACTGACTGCTTGATTTATTAACGCACAGCTCAAACCACTGAACGGATTGCGCTGAATTTTGTGGGACACATGTATCTATTATGATCTAGGCGTGCGTCTAGATCCCTAAAAAGGAAAAACTTCATTGCCCGCGCACGTGTTCCCTCCTTCCTACAATCTGGGATCCTTTAAGAGAGGCGTGAAGAAGCATTTTTGCAGGCCGGCAAGGTGAGGAAGGTTGGTGTGGCAGTTTATAACTACTGTACCAGCTATCTTCGCGTTTGGATTCTATCCACCACTTAACATCAGGTGGGGTAGAGTCATTTGCCTACCTTCAATGTTTTTATGGAAATCATATGTATATTTTCATACAGACGAAGTCGCAAACCACTCACCAGTAAATTATATAATTCATCATTTCTTTTAGATTTTTTGGACATGTCAAGGTTTCCTGATATTGGAGTGAAATTGATTGATTTAACCACTCACTGGGAGTGGTGTATTGTTATTACCACCTTGGGTGGTACTAGCGCTATTGTACTGTTAATGTGGCTAAAATTAATACAAGACTTCGAACGGCAGAATTTCACAACGCTTAATGTCGATATATAAAAATAATTTCTATATGTACATGTATTATTATTTCAGATTTCTGGGGCAATGCATTCCTAATGGAACTGTAGTCACTGCGACCTAAAAGATCTATTGTGTAGTTAAGTAGTCAAAGTAGTTATTTCTTTTAGCACGTCAAAGCAGTTATTTCTTTTAGCACGACAAAGTAGTTATATCTTTTAGCACGACAGCTTCCATGAAACCTAAAACGTTTCTACTTTCTAGCTTATAAAGATTTAATTTCCTCTGGTTTAGAAAATAAAAAAGCCTGTTTATTCCGTTTTCTTTTTACAATGTTATATCTATCTATACCTATATCTTTGGTTAGTATTTTTTTCTTTCTTATCTATTGTTAGTAAACTTAGCTCTATTTAAAGACGGTAAGAAATAGTCCTCTGGCCTTATTATCATCGTCATCATCAGCCTATTAATGTCCCCACTGCTGGGGCACAGGCCTTCCCTATGGATGGAATAGGGAGATTGGGCCATGACATGATGATGATGATGTGCTAATGATTGCAGATGCAGCCGGAATTAACGGCTTAACGTGCTTTCCGAAGCACTGAGGAACTCGAGATAGAAGTTTTTGGTCACCCATCCAATGACCGACCACTGCGAAAGTTGCTTAATTTCAACCATCGAAGCCGAACGCGCTAACCACCTACGCCCACGAGCTCCTCAACCTTATTATATGTATACTAAATTAATAATTCTATACATTAAATCCTTGGTCGTGTGGCACTACTTGAGAATAAGTTTGCCAATTTCTAATACTTTCTTGAAGGTTCTTATGGGGAAAAAGAAAGTTCCTCTCTTGTTAAGGTTTTGTTTTATTTATATTTTTATCAGGCAGGACGTCTGCCTGTACTATTATATAAATAATTTAGGGTTGTACTAACATAATATAGAGAGAACTAATAAATAGTACTTGGGTATCTCACCCTCCGTTTCAAAAAATTTCAAAACATACGAAAAATTAAATAGTTCCGTACAAAATCGTACGAATGTAAATATTATGTTGCTTGTTGATCGTCAGGCAATGAGTCTAGGAAATATTGCTTTTTTTTTTAGTTTCGGGACGGTTAGATACAGATTTAAACTAAATGGCGCTGAAGTCGTGTCTCAGTTTTTTATATCCGGCAAATTACGTGTTCCGTGTCCACTACAAAATATATATATTTCGAGTATTATAATACATACAAAATTTCTATATTATATCGAGTATAATAAATAGTAGAATTTGAAAACGAGATAATGTTTTGCTTTTTAAGTCTACCTAGTTTATCGAAAAAAAGTTACCTATATCAAAAAGGAAACACATTGAAATTCGATTATCTAGGCTAGGGTATTCCAATTTCCTGTTTGAAATATTCGTTATTTGATGGATGGCAAGATCGCGTGCCGAATGGCCCACATGAGGGGCAACACCGTACCATGCAGAATGGTTAACTAGACTTAATAAAGCTATAACAGTATAATAAACCGTAAAAGGATGAATAATGTACGCATTTTTTTGTTCCCAAGTTGAGCAGCTTTAACTGTAAAGAAGTCTCTTTAATATTCAAAGCGGGTTAAAAGGATCTATAACAAATTATCATTTTTGGAGCACAACATGCGGTTGTGGTCCATACCTAGAAATTTTAAACGTTCCTTAAGGTACGGAGGAGTGCAAGCGTCATACAACACATTATAAAGCAAAGTGAGAACATGTTCCTCACGGCGCAGTCTAATAGTAAGCCACTTCAGCTCCGTCCTAAATTCAGACGCATGATCGAACTTACGAAGGCCATAAATTAAGTGAATGCAAAGATTCTGGAGACACTGAAGTTTGTTTAGAAGTACTTAATTTAAGTCAATGTTACAAACGCCAGCGTAGTCCGAAATAGGCAGAAGGAGTGATTGCGCAAGTTCAATTTTGGTCTTTATAGGGAGAAGGTTTTTCCATCTGCGCAGTGAACCAGCAAACATTTTCCTACTGACCTCAGCAAAATGAGGAGACCAAGAGAGTGCTATACGGCAGAGGAGAAGAATTAAAATAGAGTTGAGGAAGACTCGAAACTTCCAGCTTGGAAATTTGTTTGGACCCACCCACCCCCCAATGAGGATGACTTGGGATTTGCTGGGATTGGTCGAAAGGCCGTAGGCAGAACTCCAGTCATATATGATCTTGAGGTCGTCCTGGACAAGTGCAATCAGATTATATATATCTTTAGCAGGAACCTGACAGTAAATTTGTAGGTCATCAGTATACAAAGGTAAGGAGAGGAGTAAGGAAGTTGATAAAAATTGAGAAAAGGAAAGGAGATAGGACTCCACCTTGAGGCACTCCGGCAGTCACATCACAAAACCCAGAGCACCTGTCATCAAAACGGACACATTGCCGTCGCCGACCAAGACAATCTCTGAACATATGTTTGGCTAAATCTTCTTATATAGGGGCAGTAGACGAGTAAAATTATGAATCTACACAGTCATGCACCAGCAATTAAAACTTTAAGACTATGTATAGTTCTTGCAATTGGAGTCCACGGAACAGGGTATCGGTTCTGCTAAGTTAAAGCAATAATCGTAAATCAGTGGTGTTCAGTAGGTACACTTGATTTTTGACACAGTTATGGTCTGCGCAGACAGTGGACTTTTGTACGCGGAAGACAAAAATCCCAGAACCGCGAAGAAAATGTCAGCCGAGGACTTGTTAAGGACTTGAATCACACGATGTGCGGACATTAGTCCCCCAAAGATTCAGAAAAGCGCACGCTATGTAAATTAATATGCTCAGATTATGTTGTGTTGTTATTAACATGACGTTTAAGAAAAAGAGATTACGGTTTAAATTCCTTGAAATTAGATCGAGCGCGCAACGCGGATTAATGTTCAGTAGTCACCGAGTTCAATTTTTTCGGGGACACCCGCGTACTTTGTCATCTCCGGTCTCTCGGTTGTTCGGGTGACTTTATGTACGCGGTACTTTTAATTTGTCGTGAGCATTACTCCATGCAGTTGTTGCGATCTATTAAATACCGCGGACAAAGTCCCTCGTCTGCGCAGGCTATTATTGTTACAAAAACACAAAATAACTAAAAATAAATAAATAAATATTTCCAACACACACCAATTAGCCTAGCCCCAAAGTAAGCACTGTAAAGGCTTGTGTTGTGGGATACGAGGGTAACGGCTAGAATACATATACATATGTATATAAGTATATTTATATAGAAATACATATTAATAATGCATGACTGGAGTAAAAATGCTTGTATTCATAATACAAACTTCTGCCCCCATTGAGATTTGAACCCGGGAGGACCTCTCGAGTCGGCAACACCATGAAACCCGGCGTACAAACCGGCCGAACCAACTACTTAACACTTATTTATTTTATGGTTTATTAACAAGAACTTTGTAAAAAACGATACCACAGAACGACTATTGAGACAGATGGGGGATTTGTTCGGTAGTATTATTAAAAAAAAACTTACCACTATCCATCATATCCTTTTTATCACTCGCCTTGTCGCCTTTACCAGAGTTGTTGTAGTTAAAGCAGGCTGAAACAAAGAGATTCGATTAATTCTGTTAATAAATACCAATATCATATACATATGCACTTTAAATAAGTTTTTTATGTCCATTATTTTTATTAGCTAAAAAAATTCCTGAATATAATAGGGAAAGTTTTGAATCAAGTTTATTTTAATTTCATATTATGTGTTGCGACATTGAATCATGCGTATTTCTTCTTTTATAAATATGTGCAAATGTCTATAAATATAGTGTTGCATAAAATTATTGTTTAAATTCTAAACTAGCATGATCCCCTAGATGTTAAACTATTTTCATGCCTTATAGACCGGGGCGGATGCCTTTGAAAATCATTAAACGTAAAAAATCGGAACAGGATGAAACCCATACCAAAAGGAAGAGAACTCATTAAAAAAAAGAGGAAAAATAAATAACGACCTCTTAGAGGTTGGGAGTGAGTAGCCTTTAAAGGGAGAACCCGGTTAAACGCAAATTTCGGGAAAACTACAAATCCTATCGAAAAAAAACTTCAACTTATGTATTGACACTTTTTTCACATAACCTAAAAACCATAACCACCTAAAGCAAAAAATCAAAATAACTGGTGTAAACATACCATTTTATATCCCACCAGAAAAGTTAAGTTTGTGCGCTTTTTGTTCTTTGAAAACTCTACTTTTTGTGATATACAAAAAATATACATTAGTTACTTTATATAGATTTCTCAGAAAATGAAAATGCAAATTTGCTTTTAAAGAAGGAAAACGGTTTATCGCAATTTTCATGAAAACTATAACTATAAAAAATACAATGTCAATTTTACTTCCTTCAATTTTGCAATTGTAATTTTTAACATAACATTTTACATCAACTATATATCGTCTCCGGATCGCGTGTCTGGCAAGTTGACAATGTACGGACAACGAGTAGACCACTGGTTTATTACAACCATGCATGCTTTTCTTGGGTTGACCGCGTACTGCCAATACATGGGACCCGGGCCGGGTCACCAGACGCCCCAGTAGTGGACCAAGAGTGGAACTCAAGAAGATGTTGCGTGTTGACGAATCACCAATCCAAACATTTAGCGAGATTCATTGGCGATAACGCAGTGTCCAGCCGTTGACCATAAGATACTCGTAAGACCACCTGTTGGCGATGGGGCGCCGAAAAACAACGCGATACTGCAGTTCGGGTGCCGTATAACTCTAATGACCTATCCAAATCTATTTGACCAAACCCTATGTTGGAAAGCAGAAATTCGTGAGCAATTTACGCAAAAGATTACCACAAATTGGAATATGGATTAAAGATATGAATCTGCTTATATTTCATGCTATAACATTTTTACAATAAGAAATATTGTGAAAAGTTTATTTCTTTTAATTGTGATAGTTCTTTTATAATCAAATGATCAATAAACAACAAGGTCGTCTGAGACGGCTCAAGGACAGGCAGTGTGGTAAGGCACCTGTTTACTTCCCAGGGTGACGCATGGAAAATTTAATAAAATCGAACGTGAACCGTTACCAACTGAACAGAAACTAGGTTAGGGAATTACAGTTTCAGGAAAATAAAAGTATTTTCTATATATTTTATCATTCGAACTGGTATATTCTTTATCTAAAGTAAATTAGACAAGAACAAAGTCAGCTCAAACAAAATATCAGACTGGATCTGGAATGAAACCAACACCTTTTGCTTTCCGAGCAATGCGTTGGACCTAACTATGTTTGTTTTAATTTCAGGCTCCTACCTGGGCTGCGTAGATTTTTTTCTAGTACCTAAATTATTTTTGGACAGCATTTAATTCTATGTTAGGTATCGAAATAATCGTGGTTACGTTAGAATTGTTATCGTATTAAGTAAATTATTAAAATGTTTGCAAAATTATTAGCAAGCAATCTGGATGAAAGTAATACATATTAATATTCTTTTTAGGTTAGTTTAAAAAAGAGTAGATATCTCATAATTAAAATCTAGAACCAACACAATTAAGTACCAGCCAGCTAATTCCGTAATAAGAAAGCATGTTGACTGAGTGACGTTGAGAAGATAAAGTCGTAAAACATATTTCGCGATAACGGAAGAAAACTACTTTTGTTTACTTCTAACAAAAACTGTACCGACTACTACCGACTATAATAATTAAAAAAAAACACATAATTAGCAGTGCTATATAGGCTTCACGATCAAAAGTTCGAATTGATTTTGAGTTTGAGACGCAGTTTGACTTTGTTTTAAATATTTTAAAAACTCGTTAATAAACTTGTGGAAATTTATTTGTTATAAAAAAGTTGTTAATACGTACAGATATTTTGAGAATATGAAGATTTTCTAAATAAACGTTCTGCAAAACTCCAACGACGTCCAACTCTCAGATGGTCGTTTGGTCGTTGAGAGTTGGACGTTTGGCTACATTAGGTTTTCTGCTCATTAGACATTTCTCGGTGTTAAGACGTTTTGCTACGGTCGGTGTCAAAACGTCTAACGTTTTGATCGTTAATCAGCTATAGCACTAAAAGAAAACTAATTAGGTTAATTTAGAGACCGCCTATACTTAACATAATTTTTGTACTTAATGAAGAAATTTAGTACGTGACATCCGAATAAATATTCTTGTTTTAAGGTAGGTCTTATAAGACCCAGTTGTAAACATTATTAAATTAAATAAAAATATGAAATGTCTCTAAGAATAATATTTACTTATTCGATTGAACATACTGAAGATGTGAGAACTGAGCTTATCGGAAAGCTTTCTCGACCTCTTTGGAAGTGAAGATCTTGAAATTGGAAGATTGGATTGGATCTATCTCAAACATTTTATCACGTGAAACAAAGTAGCTGACTACAGAGTTTTTCAATACAAAAGTGATGTCAAGTCATGCGTATAACCGTTCGTAGTTTGTATTATAGATTATATTTAGTCATAACCAAGCCCGTATGACGATTGTCTGATAAAGTACAGACAACACCAAAACAAACAAAGCGTAATTCAAAATGTGTTCAGTTGGAACACGCAAAACCAATTCGGTGTCAATGCCTTAAAAAAATAGGTAAAGCTTTCATTGTAACATGTATTCTATTCGCCGTTAAAAAAGACAATTAATTCGCCTTGCCTTTGACTGGTTGATTCACGCATTGACTGATACCGCTCTTTTTGGCTATTAACAGTATGAAAAATAAAGTACCAATTTTGGCATATGTATTTAACATAATAGTATTGGGACCGATTTTAATATTCTGATAAAATTACTAAAAATCATCAAAAAGCCTGGGATTGCCGGAGCCTAAATGACGCCACCTGCTTGTAATCAAGCTGTTAAAGTGACATTACATTGTTTTGTTTGTACTGATTGACGTTTTAATGAGAACGGTGTTACGTCTGCCAGCCTGCCTGAAAACACGCCTTATTCGATAGAGAAACGTTTCCGTTGCGTATTTGAAAAGTAAATTTAAATTTTCGTTTTTTTTTTATCAAATAACCCTTTATAATTATTAGGTACCGATTATAGTAATATAAGTTATTTACGGGATTGTTACCATGTACCTTGTTTTTAGCGAGTTTTAGTTAGGTACTCGGTGATAATGGCGCTTGCAGCAGTGCCGAAATATCAGAAACTCGCTAAAAACAAGGTACATGGTAACATGGTAAATAACTTATATTACTATAATGTAAGTGACCATGAAAGTTTAAAACAATATATAGGTACCGATTATTTTGAGATCACATACATACCTATGTAATTCTTCAAATTAATATTTCGCAACACTTAATTTATGAACTCTCACATTTTAATCTTATCCACGGACTATGATATTGTGTGTACAATACTTCTATTCACAACTAAAGAATATTTCATTAGAAAAATAAAATAACTTGTTACGTGTATTTGTACCAAGCGGGATACAAACCAGCACCTTTCGCCGTCCGGGATTACATAATTTCACGTGGTACGATATTTTTATTATTATGATAAAAAAAACATATTTACTACCATTATTTTTGGCGACTGTCCATAACCCACTTAAAGATGCCGAGAACAATAGTTCAAAACCATCGGATATATCATACAAGCCATGTGCCATTGTGTTCCGAAAGTCAATGGATGTCTGAGAATCATTATTAAATGATCTGTGACTGAAGCGGAACGTAATTATTATGTTCCGAATCAATATAAATAAACAATATTTTATAATCATACAGTAAGTTGGCTAAAAAAAGGGTTGCCTATTTCCAAATGAAAATCTCTTCGGTATTATTATGCAGTGCAGTGATAGTTAAATATAATAAGTAAAACATCGACAAACGACAAAACAATATGCATATTACAATTACATGGAAAAATAAAGTTTTTTTAAATTACCTTTTACGCGGGCCAGTCGAAAGGAGAAAACCCTGGGTGGTTAACTAAACCGGTGAACCATCGCCGCTCACAGACGGTCCGTTAATGTAGAATATCAGACAATAAGTGTCATATAAAAGCAAATCGATTATTTTAACACCGGCTACTTACTTAAATTATACACACACGGGCCGTATTATCGTTCACGATAGATTTTCTAAACTTGACTTTTTTTAAAGATTCTAAGCGCTAGATTACGAGTGAATCAGCCAAGAGGAAAATGCGTATTACGATGACGTGTATGTCGAGTGCATGTTGTTCGGTCAAAGCAATTCTGTTTGGCCTTGTGCCTTATTTGGAGATGCAGACTAAGAACGTTTACAGAAAATTATTTTTTTAGGGTATAGTTAGTTAATGATCGGAAATCAGAATTTTGCCTTATGTTATTGGTAAATCGAGGAGCTCAATGGTGCAAGTGGTTAGCGATTTCGGCTGCGATCGTTGAAGTTAAGCAATTTTCGCAGTGGTCGGTCATTGGATGGGTGACCAAAAATTTACTATCTAGAGTTCCTCTGTGCTTCGGAAGGCACGTTAAGCCGTTGGTCCCGGCTGCATCTGCAGTCGTTAGCACCCGCCAATCCGCACTGGGCCCGCGTGGTGGGTGGCCCAATCTCCCTATTCCATCCATAGGGAAGGCCTGTGCCCCAGCAGTGGGGACATTAATAGACTGATGATGATGATGATGATATTGGTAAATAAATTCCCAACAATTAGAATTACACCGCCCGGATAGCGGAAGGTGCAGGTTCGAATCCTGTCTGATGCGTTTCCACTCGATTTAATTCCATTTAACGCAAAATGGAATATCTAGCGCTTATTATCAATACCATTTCTTTAGATATCCTAAGAACAAAACTGTGCCAACGTGCATTATAAATAAATATCGATTTGTCCGACTTATAGGTCACATACAATCTTTTGATTCATATTTAAACAGTCAGTGTTATGTTATCCAGAAAATATTACCTATACAGAAAGTTTACATGTTGTGTGCCCTACTACC